TATCAATTTGCATCCATAATAAAAAGTTTGCATCTTGAAAATACAATAAAAATAAATTAATTAATTCATACCATATGTAAGATTTATATGATTATATCATATAACTAAGAAAGAGATAACAAACCCTAAATACTGTTGCGGAAGATGACTCGATCCCTAATATCATTAAATACAGAAAAAACCAAAACTTAATTTACATTTTATACATATAAGGGTAAAGTGGTTATTTTGAAAAAATCATTGAACCAACTAAATGTCAACACAGTCAATTAACGAAACTAAGATCAAAACCTAAAAAACCAATTAGTATACACCAAAACATAAATACCACATTAGAAAAAGAAGTAACACAAAAATCACCCTTGTTTCTGAATCTATCCAAAGTTCAAAATGAACTACTACGAGTCATGTTTCTGAAGTTGGACTAGACCATTCTTGATATCTGCGTCATCTGTGTCTGTCTAGCCACAAATTAGGAAGTTTCATTAAGCAATTAAGCAATAATGATACACATGTTTAAATGAAAAATTGAAGCTTGGTGGTTCAAAAGTATGTCAATCTGTTAGTTATAGACTTATTATAGTGGTGGCAAATTTTCTTAGTTTGAGTGTTTGACATCTTTGATGGTATCTTTACTGTTGTCTTCTTCTTCATGGCTTTTGGTGCATGGTCACTCATGTATCTTCTCCCAAGGGAAAAATGTTGCTCTCTCACACAGTATATGGGACCACAGAAAACTAAACTTTTGTAAAGCCTGGAAGTATAGGTCAATGACTAGGTCTTTTTACCTACCTAGTCAAACATTGAATTTGATCTTTTTTAGTCTCTCATTGCACATCTGTACTCTTCTAAACCAAAATGCATCTTTCATTATCTGAGATTGAAGATGTACTAATTCAACTTGTGATGAGTTGTACTTCCATATATGCAAACACACATACAATTGCATATTTTTTGATATTCAGTAAATTGCATATATATAGGCAAACTCACAAGGTACTCTGTTCCATCTGGTGACAAATTTCCTCAAACATTTAAATTCCAGGACACAAAATTTTGCCATACATAGGGTATTGGCATTGGACCTTGTTAGTTGCATAGAAGCCACTAAACACATTGCAATTTCTGAATTGTGTTACCAATGTGATACCTAGCTAGTTGTGTATTTGATAAAAAAAAACTTTCACAATCTTTATCAACAGATATAAATTGTACTAATGCATTGATATACTAAAAAAGTTACTCAGCTAGGTGTTTAAGAAAACCCAGCTTTTGTAGATGATATTGTACGACCAGTCGACCACGGACCACCACATCTTACAACCAATCCTTTGAGTGCAAACCCACCTCCCTCCTTCTGTCAAGGCCGCCCTATATGTCTCCTCTTATTAGATATATATATATTATCTGATGCTTCTTATTACAACTAAGTCTATGGACTTTGTAGCTAGCAGCAGTACTGTTATACTGTTTTCAGTACTGTTCATTTCTTAAATACTATCACATGCTTTCTCTACCTAGAAGCTACTCTATAGTCTATACTCATTTTCTTTACTACTACTCAGTTCTCATTCATTTTCATTTTCTTTTGTTTCATCTCTACCCTACCTCTCTCTCATTCTATCTATATAT